CTCACCTTTTTACGGGACAACAGCCTGCTCACTGCCCCTCCTGTGACCAAAGATGGACTACTGCCCATCTACTACTGGAATGCCCTGTGCTGCAGCAGCCAAGACAGCCCCTGGACCAATACTGCAAAGAGATGAACTGGCCTTTCACACTGACATCCCTACTAAGAGATGATTTTCCAGCTGAGAAACTAGTTACCTTTCTGTCAAAGATGGACATCATCGACAAGCTCTAAAGAACAAAACCACAAGCTCTGACCAAAGCACCAGATGCCCAAGAAGGCTGGTGCTAAAAATTCAACGAGATTCTGCGATTCTGTTATTTCTGTGGAAAGCTTTTGCATTCCATGTATTCGCTTAACACCTTCAAGCCGGCAATAACAAAGACTAATCACATTTTTAGCTGTAGCTAGAGAATAGGCCCTGAAATTTGAATTGAAAGCACCTTGTTTCATGTAGAATAGAATAGAAGTGTCGGCACTGAAGAAATAGCCCATGGCCTGTAATAAGACTATATATCAGGCGAAATATATCGGCAACAGGCCCTGTTGCCGATTCTTGAATTTTTTTCACTTGATTCACAATTGATCCGGCCTTTGGAACCAGATCTTTCCATAACTGAGTCTGACGATTGATTGAGATAGCTGCTAGACTTATTGCCTGGTCGGTAATTTGGCATTTGCTAGGCATTTCAAAACTGAACATATCACATATGCTCCTGCATAGCTTTGTCTAGTCTGTTCTTGAAGCCCGGGCATGGCCCAGTTGAAGTTGACGGCATTCATACTCGGACTCTCGGAGCATCAACGATGCTATCCGGGACCGGGAGGAGGAGGCTGTTCCACATGTTGGTGACTCGAAGTGAGAAGAAATGTTGTCGCATGGATATGTTACAACCATCCTGTACAACGCAGTTTACCCCAGTTTTTTTAGTTTATAGCTGTGGCCCCTGGTGTTGGTTCTTGTTTCAAATTCTAGTAATCCTTCTGGGACCTTGTATAGGTCATGAGTATACCTGTATGCTTCAATGAGTTCCCCATGCAGATGTCAATAACTGAGGCTTGGAAGCTTCATAATCTTTAATCTTTCCTCATAGGACTTGCCTTTTAAGCCCAGAATTATCCTTGTTGCATGTCTTTGAACACTCTCTATTAAATTTTTGTCCTTTTCAAGTTTTGGTGACCACACAACGTTTCCAAACTCCAGGTTTGGGTGCACAACAGCAACAAACAACTGCTTCATCACTTCTGCACATTTTTTCAATATACAATTTTCAATATTCCATACTCATCTCTGCACTACTTAGTAACCATTATCACTCGAAATTACAAGAAAAAAATTTTATGCGCTTTAAAAAAATGTGGTCATTAAAGGGTTAACAAAGTTTTCTCGTTACAAATGACAACAAAACAGCAACACAAAACAGTAACAAGTTATTGTTTAATCAAATAATGTGTTTCTAGATGGATAGTATTGAATATCAGGTTTGTACTTTTATTAAAAACATTGTAACGTAAGAATTACCAGTTTGTCCTTTCTTACCCCAGCCTTGTCCCATCTTACCCCAGTGGGATAAGATGGGACCAGCTCACTTTTTTTAATCTGTACAGAAAACTGTGTTGTATGCAAAAAGTCTGAGTTGTAGCTTAGAAGCCCATTTCATAACTACACCTTGTCATAGGTTTAGGGTTTTTAGTTATTCAGGGTATTTAGAAGCTACATGCTTGTTGGTGATTTCGGTCCTGTCTTACCCCATCTGACTAAATACGTAATATGTGTTTAAAAATTACTTTTTAGAGACAACACTTTTAAAGAGACCAGTGTCTCCAATGTTACACATGTACAATGAATTGGTTAATTTATTTTTAAATATTAGAAAAAATTATTTTTTCCCAATTTTTTAATATTTGAGAAAAATGTTAAAACATTTATGAAATTTTTTATTCTGTCAATTGATTCATGCATTGTCTTCGACTTTAATGCAAGTGTGCAAAATTTCATATCGATTGGACAGGTAGAAGTGTGTTAAATATTGATTATAAGATTTGTAGCAGACAAACAAACAAACATACAAGAAGTGAAGTTATAGAGAAGTATTGTAAAATAGTAGTTGATATCTTGGCATCTTAAGAGCAAAGAATTTTGGCATCCGTTAAAGTCTTCACATAGGTACGTTATGCTTTACTGTACATTATGGTTAGATACAAATGCTTCTCAAACATTTAGCAGAATTGAAGTTTGTTTAATGGCTCAAAAATAGTTTTGAATTTAAAAATATCCTATTACAATTATATAAAATTTTTGAACATGTCATTATCTCAACAATAGATTTCCTTTTTCAAAGAAAAAGAGTAGTGCATGTAAAGTCAAAACAAAGTGGTAAAAGAGTGATTATTTAGACTCAGTTCATTTCTAATTGCCTGATCAAATTCAAAATTTGCAAAATACACTATAGGTGTAAATACTGGGCAAATAGGTATAAATGCCTCCACAGGAAGGTCAGTGTAAAAGTCTAATTTATCACCATGATGTAAAGATGTCAATGGTCAGTCATGTTTTTCATTATGGCTAATATTAAAAGAATTACTAGATGCATACTCAACTGTCCGCATAACATTGATTGCAGAGGTTAATCAGAAAGGTCTTTTACAACAATTTGGATGCATAATAACATAACATTATGAGAATTTAAAATGCATATTTCCAGGTCCTTCATATAAATGCATTCAAAAAAGGCTGTTCATGAAGCTCTCCACTATGTTGCTACCAACTTGAGCCCATTTCTTGCTCTGGCCAACTGCCACTTGGTGGATGTGTTTGTGTCCGATGTATGGCACAAAGTCTTACCACCGCTGCTATGGGATGATCTCAACAAAATTTCACCGCAGGATCTGTGCTCCATGTTGGGACCTTCTCAGGAATCTTCTGAGCTACTTGGTGAGCAGAGAATATCAGGTTAATTTGTGATAATGCAGTTTGGCGAAAATAGTTCCCTTATACAATTTCAATTGAAGAGTTGAGAATGACATGTATTAGCATTTTTTTTGTTTCAATAAGAAGACACAGATATTCTTGACTTTTTGCATGCTGACCGAGAAATACTAGTTACTAAGAGAAAATGATCAATCATTTTATTTTTCATTCCAGACTGTGGGGCATTGAAGTCAAAACTATATTCTTGTTTATAAATATTAATAGTAATAGTGTTATATATATGTCTATATTTGTCACTGTTACTTCATTTGTTTGATTTTTTTAGACATACCAACATGAATGAATTAATAATTTTCTATTATAAACTGATTTAAGATATTGTATGATCTTCATGTTCTCAGGGCATCACTAAGTAATTTGATCAATAATATTGATGTTCCAGATATCGTACTAGTCCCGGTATATCCTATTTTTGAAGAGTTCTAGTTTGAAGCTATGACTTGTGAATAGAATTTATTATTGAAGCCACAAGGTGTACCATAATTTTTTTCGAATTGATTATAAATTTCTCACTCTGTGGGCGCACACAACATTTAATCAAAAAAGTACCTGGTTCATGTTTTTTAAACTCAAACACTGATTTTTTATAATATTTTGAGTTTGGTTACATTTGTTTAGTAGATTTTTATTACCATTGTAAAAACAGTCCAGGAAAAATTTGATACTGTGAACCCCAGTGCATACCATATGAACCTACTACTCCATGAGTGAGCTCACTATTCCATTGCGTATTGAAGCCTGGCAAATTCAACATTTTTTTCTGTATTGTGTGCAATTTTTATTAAATGGCTGACAAAATGCAAGTGATAGATTTTATTTTGAATTTTTTCAATACTCTATAAAGACAGCTTATTAATGATTGTGATTTATTGTACATGAAATTCTTTTTTTTTTTTTTTTGTCTTCATCCATGTATTATTGCTCTAAGATATACAGGAAGGAGAATCAATGTTAACTATTTGCTACAGATGGGATCAAGAGTGACCTCCCATCTTTACACAAGTTCCTGTTGTTGCTGCACTCAATGCATCTCAGTCAACTTGGGGTACTGAGCTCCAAACAAGAGGTTTGTAGGCTCATTTTTCTACTCACACCTCAATAATGGGTTTCTTTGTTGCTTTTTCATTGCATTAATGGTAACCAAGTGTGTTCAACAGATTAAAACTGAATTTTTTCACCATTTCTCTTGTGTAGGTGCTATATTGGCACAAATTGTGTTGATGATGGTCAGTTTGAAATTGTCTATAGTAACATGATGGAATAAATGTAAAAAAAAAAACATTACAAACAGCGATGTTGCTAAAACCTAACTGTTTGCGTCTCATAAAGTTTGAGCAAACAGAAAACAAATTGTAGAAGCTATTTGACCAGAAGTTCATTTTTTGAGAGGTCGGGAATGTGTGATGAAATGTTCCAAGTTTGAACCTGACTTGAGACAAAATTTGGATTGAATAATGACCACATTGATGACGAGGTTACTATTTGGTGTCTAGTAAGATTCTCACAATTATATTGTAATTCACAGAATAGCATTTACACTCTGTACTATTGATTCACTATCTCAACTGAAAAGCTTAGGATTTGATTCCATACAATTGCTTCGATTCAATTCATGACAACACCCCGCCCGTACACATAGCATTTTTTCCCAAAGAAAAGCACCAGGGATTTACTAAGCATTCATTTCCATGCAAGTTGACAGATTTATTACAATTGATTATTTCGGAGCCATAAATTTGAGGGAACAGGTACTTGCGGCGGCACAGCAGCACGCCACGCCAGTGACCGCCACTGTGGATCTGCAGCGCCTCATGCCACTGAAGAAGGCGCACGAGGTGGCAGTCATGGCGGAGCTTATGGCAGCTCTCTGTGCCGGTGAGACGAAGGGGGTGCTGGTGAGACGAGGGGGTGCTGGTGAGACGAGGGGGTGCTGGTGAGATGAGGGTCTGCTGGTGAGACGAGGGGGTGCTGGTGAGACGAGGGGGTGCTGGTGAGACGAGGGTGTGCTGGTGAGACGAGGGGCTGCTGGTGAGACGAGGGGCTGCTGGTGCTGGTGAGACCCAATGCACTCAATGCGTTTAGGTTTTCTTCTCTTCAGTGTATTTTATTCTCCACAAGTTCCAGGCGCTAATGCGCTTCTTTTTGGCCATTGTTGCTACTTGCGCCTTAATTTCTCTCTTTTTAAATCGAAATTGAAATTTGAACATTCACTCTTTCCATCACTCATTGCGTATGCACTCATTTCTAGTCACATCTTATTCCTTGACATTGCTTATTTTACACCACTATTTATTCAAGAAATTGTTTACAGTTGCTCCAACTGTCTATTGATATTTGGCAGCTGTCTGCTGATGAGTTATTGACTCTACTAATACTTGGCAGTTGATATGTTATTAATTCAATTAATATTTGACTGTTGATGCTCAGGCTTGTAATTAATTCAATTAATATTTGACTGTTGATGCTCAGGCTTGTAATTAATTTAATTAATATTTGAGTGCTAATGCTCAGGCTTGTAATTAATTTAATTAATATTTGAGTGTTATTGCTCAGGCTTGTAATTAATTAAATTAATATTTGACTGTTAATGCTCAGGCTTGTAAATAATTCAATTAATATTTGACTGTTAATGCTCAGGCTTGTAAATAATTCAATTAATATTTGACTGTTAATGCTCAGGCTTGGACGTGTCGTGGGTGTGTGACCTGGGGGCAGGGAAGGGTTACCTCAGCGCCCTGCTTGCCAGGTGAAGTTGAAGTCATAATCAATTATATCATTTTCTGGCGTACTATATATATATTGCCAATGCCGATAAATCTTTCTCTTCCTGTTGTATTAAAAAGAACAAACTTTATATACTACTATAGCTATCATTCTGTTGTATATATGCATTACAAATACTTTTCCGGGCGTACTATACTACTATAGCTATCATTTTGTTGTATATATGCATTACAAATACTTTTCCGGGCGTACTATACTACTATAGCTATCATTCTGTTGTATATATGCATTACAAATACTTTTCCGGGCGTATTATACTAGTATAGCTATCATTCTGTTGTATATATGCATTAAGATACTTTTTTGCCAATATTACATTTGTAAATAATTTTTGAAATGTAATATTGAAGTATAAGGAATTAGTAATTGTTACAAATGTTGAGCTGAATGTTGTACTCGAGCTCATGCGACTCACAGGTTCTACGGTCTGCATGTACTGGCAGTGGATGGTACACAGTCCAACACACAGGCAGCGCGTGCATACAGCCACACTCTGCAGGTGACATTCAGTGTATTATACAGGATCCGCCATATTTATGGCAACGCATGTTTTTTATTATTTCTCAATGAAACAAACAGGTGAATTGTTTTTTTATTGGATGAGCAACGATAGTAGCCAAGAATTACCTAAACAATTCTCAGACATATTTATTCAATATGACCACCCTTATTTTTAACGACGGCCTCCAATCTACGCGGGAAAGCTTCACAGGAGACACGCAGCATTTCTTGAGGGATCAAGTCCCATTCTCGTGTCAATTTAGACTTCAAACTATCCAAAGAATCATGAGGTGTTCTGCAGCCCTACTCTCTAAAATAGCCTACACAGAAAAGTCGAGAGGATTCAAATCAGGGCTTCTTTAGGGCCATTCATTTTTGCTAATGAACGCTGGGATGTGACCCTGAATCCAGTTTTGGGTCATGTTTGAGCCATGTTATGGGGCAGAGTCTTGTTGAAAACTCCATGGTGAGCCGTTGAAGTGTTTACGGGCCCAAGGTAACAACACAGCTTCCAAAATATCCGAAATGTATCGCTGACTGTTCAATTTCACTCCTGATGGGACAAAAATGAGTGAACACCTCCCAGTGGCGGTTACCGCGGCCCAAACCATCACGGACATGGGAGTTTGACGTCGTGTTGCTGTTTGGCTGCCACAGATCCATCCCGACTCCAAACTCAGTCATTTTGATGGTTAACACTTTGTTCAATGTCAATTTTTTTCTCGTCACTGAACACCAAGTTGGGCAGCGTACCATCCTCAATGAGATCCAGAATGTGCTGGCATCTTTCGAGCCTCATTCGTTCATGACGGTCTGTTAGTTCATGCCTTGTTTGCATCTTGTAAGGGGAGGTTTTGAGGTCATCTTTGAGGACTCTACGCATTGATGTCTGACTGACTCCTGCTTCTGAAGCAAATTTTGCAGCTGAGCGACGAGGGTTTCTCCTCAACTCCTCCCTCGTGTTTTTGACCAGTTGTTTTGTTCGGACACTTCGTTTCCTTCCTTGACCAGGTCGATTGCATGTTTCACCAGTTTCCTCGAATTTTTTTACCACCTTCCACACAGTTTCACGACGAATTTGGAGCTTTTTTGCAATGACTAAATTACTCTCGCCTTTTTCATGAAGAGTTACAATTGCATTTCTATATACTGCCTTAAGTAATAGTAAATTTAGACACCTTAGACTTCTGCAATATATAATAGATGAATTAATAGATGATATTAAGCTTCATTATAAAAGAAAAGTCGCCTAGAAACCAATTTATTTTTATATAGCAAACATCCGTTGCCATAAATGTGGCGGACCCTGTATAGTTGTATATGGTCTGCATGTACTGGCAGTGAAGGTCTTCGGAGGTCTCTCTGCATGAGATAAAACTGCAGACACTAAACGTACACAATGGTTCATGCCTAAAACTATATCATAGAAACTAAAAATACCTCTTCACATCTGCAGCTATACAGGTTGACATAAGACTAATATATTGCAGGTCACCATAAGCACAGCTATTTTAAAATATTGAATGATTCAATACGCACCTGTCCAGTATGGTGGCTTAGATTGGGTGATCCTATCGAGCCACTATTGAGGGGCCTTACTTTTAAAACTCGCCAAGTGAACGTAAGTACTTACGCTCTATTTTCTTGTTTATGATTGGTGGATTTTGCTTGAAAGGCCGTCAATGATTGGCTAATGAACTTACGATCTCTTAACTTTTTTTGAAAGTATGGCCCCTGGTAACAGCGCACGGACTATTCGTTTTGATTTAAAAACGGATCACTATAAAAGACATATATAAAAGGTGTATTTCCCGACTCCACAATATCAGTCTTGTTTAATTTAAATATTGAAGTGTTGTTCAATAAAAACATTACCTTCAGCTCATGTTCCAATTTGCGCCCCGTTAACTGCACATTTATTAAGATCTTTGCATTCTTAGTGCATTGCCTTAATCTAAAGTAATTTGTAATTAATTTTTTATAAACAGATTTTAATGAATTTCTTATTCGGTTATTGGTTGCAGAAAGAACTGAACCGCCAGCGACGTGTGAATCGAAGAACAAAAAATCCATCACCTGAAAAATCCCAAAAATTTTCAGAAGGATTGACTTTTTTCAACGACTTAGAAGATGAAAATGATGAATCTACGTCTGACGCACTACATACAAATATCGTTCCTAGATCAGCAGAAGTGAACTCCTTGTATGAAAATACAGAAAGCGTCAAAATTTCAAAACGTATGGAATCCAAAACCATTTCTAGATCAATTGATTCAGATATTTTTCATAGAGATTCCGAAGCGAATCATAAATTGATGCAGTTAAGCATAACATCAGAGGCACCAGAAATCGCGATTCGTGAAGAAAAAGAAACGAGATACTCATATTCTCATTGTTCTATAAGGGATAAATGCAGAACAAATGTTGCTAGTTCTTCAGATGAAACAGCGACTGACGCTGGACATTATTATTGCATCACCAAGTACGTGACGCCAACCTTCAGTATCGGAGACGCATTAAAAGAAGCCATCGCACTTGAAACAGATTCATCAAATTCATCGAAAATCAAGCCTGATAACAGGAAGACTAAAGTAAAAGTCAGAAGAAAAGGAGCAGCCGGAGAAACTAAAGAAAGAAGTACAAAGTCGGCGGTGAGAGAAGAGTTTGATGAACGAGAAGAAGTCGAGAAATTGTTCCCCTCGGAGAAAGAAGAACAAGAACAAGGGAACCAATGTAACGTGAACCGAGCAGTGAGTGCAGTGAACCAAACTTTGGAAGCAGTGAACGTAAATGAAGCAATAAGTGCAGTGAACCAAACTTCGAAAGCAGTGAACGTAAATGAAGCAATAAGTGCAGTGAACCAAACTTTGGAAGCAGTGAACGTAAATGAAGCAATAAGTGCAGTGAACCAAACTTTGGAAGCAGTGAACGTAAATGAAGCAATATGTGCAGTGAACCAAACTTTGAAAGCAGTGAATGTAAATGAAGCAATAAGTGCAGTGAACCAAACTTTGGAAGCAGTGAACATAAATGAAGCAGTGCGTGCAGTGAAGGTAAATGAAGCAGTGCGTGCAGTGAAGGTAAATGAAGCAGTGCGTGCAGTGAAGGTAAATGAAGCAGTGCGTGCAGTGCAGGTAAATGAAGCAGTGCGTGCAGTGAACATAAATGAAGCAGTGCGTGCAGTGCAGTGCGTGTCATGTCTGCACGGCTGCGGTGACCTCAGCGTGAGCGCACTGCATGTCTTCCTCCGGCACGCGCACGTGGCGGTTGCCTGCGTCGTCGGCTGCTGCTACCACCTTGTCACCGAGCGCCCTGGTGAGGCCTTCATTTAGAAATAATCAAAATAATCCAAAGGGATTAAGTTAATCCATTAACTCTTATTGAAATAATCTAGTCCGTGAAGACAATAAATGGACGTTCATTGAGAAATAATCAAAATAATCCAAAGGGATTAAGTTGATCCATCAACTCTTATTGAAATAATCTAGTCCGTGAGGACAATAAATGGACGTTCATTTAGAAATAATGAAAATAATATTCAGGGATTAAGTTGATGCATTAACTCTTATTAAAATAATCGAGTCCGTGAAGACAATGAATACAATCTTGAAGTATTAAACTCTTCGATTAATTCTTATAAAAATAATCTAGGTAGTTTAGTTAATGAAAATTTAGAAGAATCATATTCTCCGATTGACTGTTATTAAAAGTAATTTGGCATTTGTGTTCAACCAAAGACATACAAGTGTATTGGACATTCTGTATTTCTTTCCATGTAAAGATTAATTTTTATGTCCAGCATGAGCTAACAAGTGCTAAGTGAGCTATAGTCTATACAGTACGAGTTAATCAGTCAACAAGGTTATTTGGTTAAACCAATTGTTTGGTACGAAATATATGAATTTTTCCAGTGTTTAAATATTTTAAGAGTTTTGAAGTAATTTCTTGCCATATTTTGAGCATGACTTGATTATGTTCATGCTACAGCTGGTGCTGGGTTCCCGCTGTGTGCCCAGCTGGCTGGGTACCAGCTGGGCCGCAACGCGCGTATGATCGGCTCCCAGTGCCTGCCCAGGAGGGTCGTGCTGGGCGTCCAGGTACTACTGGATTATCTCATTTTCAGTCAATCAGAAGCAGACAAGGTTCATCTCTTGGTAGATTATTGATTGAATTCTTATAACATTATAATAATTATTTTTACACAATGTTTAATTAGGTAAATATGGATCCAGGGACCCAAAGATTTCAATTGATCTCATGATTTGTCTTAACTTCTGAATTCAATTCCCTTCCACTTAGGACTTTCATTCTACTTATAATTCCCATTCTACTTTTGACTGTCAATCTTCTTAGGAAGAAGAAAACAAATCCCACTTCTGGCGGGCAGTCCTGCAGCTGGTGATAGTTAGACAACTGCATCACAGCGCCAATCCTGCTTCTGGCAGCCAATTTCGTGCCTCTGGCACCCCGCCTTGTGCCTCTGGCACCCCGCCTTGTGCCTCTGGCACCCCGCCTTGTGCCTCTGGCACCCAGCTTTGTGCCTCTGGCACCCATCCTCGTGCCTCTGGCACCCTGCCTTGTGCCTCTGGCACCCTATCTTGTGCCTCTGGCACCCCACCTAGTGTCTCTGACACTCCACCTTGTGCCTCTGGCACCCCGTCTTGTGCCTCTGGCACCCCACCTCGTGCCTCTGGCACCCCACCTCGTACCTCTGGCACCCCACTCCGTGTCGTAGACTGTACACGGGATAATTTCATCGACAACACTCAAGGTATTTCAACAGCGTTTGAGATGTTTTCATGACAATTTGTAGCTATATTTGCGATTTTTTCTTTTATATGCATTTATACTTAAGATTCTTGAAAGCAGACTAGGTACTATATTCATCTCAAATTAGTGCTTATTGGTTCTAAAGTGCACAGAAAAATTGAAACTATCTTATCAGCAGCACATTCACTTCCTATCAATTAAGACCACAATGATTTAATGATCTTTAACGTGAAGCATTTAAAATTCAATAACATATTATAAATTCATATAAACTTCCAGAACCACCCCCGCTACATGATTACTCCTCGTTCGTGTCAAGTTTATCTTCCGAAGAGCGCAGCGCAATCTCCATGTTCCGCATCGGCCGAGGCTTGGCCGGCAACTGCCAGAGTTTCAGCCAATACGCGACGCGCGCTATTGCCAGGCTGCCAGATGTCGTCAGATCGCGAGTCATGGTGAATTTTTTTTTAGTTTGGAATATTTGATTAGTTCCTTTTTATTCTTACAAATTCGTTTGTCTGAAACTAATTCTTAATAAGCATAAATGTTTGTTAAAAAGTCTGCCCACCTTCAATCCTGTATTCTTGTCTTAAAATTTCATTGTGAAGAAATACAACATATGCATCACTGACCATGAATTAACACATATTTTAGCGAAATATTTAAAATATAAAAGTAATAACATCATAAAATATGAGTTTTGCTATTTTCTTGTTGTGTTTTCAAATTATTCTAGATAACCAAGATTAGAACAGCGAGTTGTGGGTGTGAAACCAGCAAATCGCTGTAAAAATCCAGGCCGAAATCGGTTTGGTGGTTGAGCACAACAAGTTTGTAGTATTGAGTTTGTTGGGGGTTCGATACCCAGCAGGCGGTGAAAATCCTATGATATCTAAAACCGTTGCCAGGGCAACCATGGCCTGAACTGGACCGCTTACAATATTAAACCATAAAAGATAACCTAAATATATAACATAATAAGATAACTTATGCCACCCTTGTGGTTCGAATGTAAATTGTATGCACTCAATATAAAATGATTGTCTAATCTAGAGATAATAATTACTAGAAGTGTTGAATTAGAAGGGATTTATTGCTTGATGACTAATAGAAGAGTGCATTAGAAGTGTTCAATTAGCAGGGATTATTTATTGCTTAAGGACGGCAGGGATGACAGCAAACGAGCGTCTGGTGTAGAGAGAGAATTTGTTCAATGAAAAGCGAGTGAAATCGTGAATATGATGAATGTGTGATGTGGAGGATAGGAGTGGCCGGTGGAGGATAGAAGGCTGCTTGATGTGCAGGATGTGATGCAGAGGGTAGAAGGCTGCTTGATGTGCAGGATGTGATGCAGAGGGTAGAAGGCTGCTTGATGTGGAGGGTAGAAGGATGCTTGATGTGGAGGATATGATGTGGAGGGTAGAAGGATGCTTGATGTGGAGGATATGATGTGGAGGGTAGAAGGANCTAGATCAGGTGCAGCTGATTATGACTTGATGCTGCTAGATCAGGTGCAGCTGATTATGACTTGATGCTGCTAGATCAGGTGCAGCTGATTATGACTTGATGCTGCTAGATCAGGTGCAGCTGATTATGACTTGATGCTGCTAGATCAGGTGCAGCTGATTATGACTTGATGCTGCTAGATCAGGTGCAGCTGATTATGACTTGATGCTGCTAGATCAGGTGCAGCTGATTATGACTTGATGCTGCTAGATCAGGTGCAGCTGATTATGACTTGATGCTGCTAGATCAGGTGCAGCTGATTATGACTTGATGCTGCTAGATCAGGTGCAGCTGATTATGACTTGATGCTGCTAGATCAGGTGCAGCTGATTATGACTTGATGCTGCTAGATCAGGTGCAGCTGATTATGACTTGATGCTGCTAGATCAGGTGCAGCTGATTATGACTTGATGCTGCTAGATCAGGTGCAGCTGATTATGACTTGATGCTGCTAGATCAGGTGCAGCTGATTATGACTTGATGCTGCTAGATCAGGTGCAGCTGATTATGACTTGATGCTGCTAGATCAGGTGCAGCTGATTATGACTTGATGCTGCTAGATCAGGTGCAGCTGATTATGACTTGATGCTGCTAGATCAGGTGCAGCTGATTATGACTTGATGCTGCTAGATCAGGTGCAGCTGATTATGACTTGATGCTGCTAGATCAGGTGCAGCTGATTATGACTTGATGCTGCTAGATCAGGTGCAGCTGATTATGACTTGATGCTGCTAGATCAGGTGCAGCTGATTATGACTTGATGCTGCTAGATCAGGTGCAGCTGATTATGACTTGATGCTGCTAGATCAGGTGCAGCTGATTATGACTTGATGCTGCTAGATCAGGTGCAGCTGATTATGACTTGATGCTGCTAGATCAGGTGCAGCTGATTATGACTTGATGCTGCTAGATCAGGTGCAGCTGATTATGACTTGATGCTGCTAGATCAGGTGCAGCTGATTATGACTTCATCTTGCATGCAAAAAATTTCATTCACTGTATAGATGAATGATTATATGCATTATAAATAACGTTCACAATAGACATGACTATGCGTCATAAATAACGTTCACTCGGTCTTCGTTGACAGGAGTGTTGCCAGCAAGCGTTCCTGTTGCCGCTCTTCGACCCCGTCACGTCGCCGCGTTGCCACGCCATCGTTGCCATCAAAAAAGACTTGATGAAAAATTGACAGGCGTTGACAGACGAGTAGACAGATCAGTTCTTCGCCACGACGTTTGTCCCGCGCTGTTGACAGACGTGTTGACAGATCAGTTCTTCGCCACGACGTTTGTCCCGCGCTGTTGACAGACGTGTTGACAGATCAGTTCTTCGCCACGACGTTTGCCCGCGCTGTCAACAGACGTGTTGACAGATCAGTTCTTCGCCACGACGTTTTTCCCGCGCTGTTGACAGACGTGTTGACAGATCAGTTCTTCGCCACGACGTTTTTCCCACGCTGTTGACAGACGTGTTGACAGAGCCGTATATTTTTAAAGTTTCTTTTACTTTATTTGCAATAAATTTATTCCTTGTATTTATAAGAAAACTATAATGAATTTGTTAACATTATTCAAGTTAAACATGACTAAAGTACGATTCCCAAGTGTATTACCGAGCCATACGAAAATAAATATATTTTCAAAATCTTAAAGTCCACAATTTGAATTGTACGCAAATTTTTTTTCCCGCCAACGCAGCGACAAAGTAAAAATTTATCACATCGACGCACTGCGACAACTCTGAAGACCCGCGATTTTTCCAACCACTTTTTGGTCCCCAATTTTGATTGGGGACCAAATTCAATTTAATTTTAATTTCAATTTAATTTTAATTAAATTTAATTTGATTTTAATTTCAAAGTAGCGCGGCTGCAGGCGTCGTGTCATACAATTATTTTTATTTCTTATTTAGTCAGCCTTCCCAAAACACTGGTTTGAGAAATGGTTATACGTTCGTGAATTTTTTAAATTAAATTGACGTTGAGTTGAAAGGAAGTTTAACAAGATCCAAAATTAAACACAAATGCAACTGAGGGCAGCATGCAACTGAGGGCAGCATGCAACTGAGGGCAGCATGCAACTGAGGGCAGCATGCAGCTGAGGGCAGCATGCAGCTGAGGGCAGCATGCAACTGAGGGCAGCATGCAACTGAGGGCAGCATGCATCGTCCACATCATCATAAACATGATGCGTAAATCTTATGGTTCATCATGTTTATACTTAATCACCATTCCAGTATGATCGTTAATTGTTTTATTTTAATAAATTGTCTAATTTTGACTATAAATGTAAAATTTTTCAATTTGCAATTCAGAATTCACTATGAAAATTCACTCGGAGCTTCTCGACTTGAGACTCAATCGGTATCATTTTTTTCTCCAAGAATATGAATAATCATTTCACGTTAATTACGTGATTATGGACATGATTGATAATAAACATTAGCGGAACTTACTTCAATAACTGCGTAATAGAGTTTTACTAAATTTATCGGTCATTACTGATGGAAATTCTTCGTCGCAGCAAAGGGTTTAGGAGGCAATCAGAATATTAACACGCAATCAATGTAATAAAGGCATGTATCTATTGTTGATACATTTAACATTATTTGTATGAATTTATTCACGTTCAAACGGTAATTAGCCTTTAATCTATAAAGATATTGATAATTAACTTCAAACAGTAGGTTGGAATATTCCAATAGGAAACAAACGAGTTTTGCACGCATAACACAAGACGTAATGACACGAGGCATAAACGCGGGCCAGTGGCATAGAAACGCTACGGGAAATAGTGCCGACGTGCTTTCTCTGGCCCTTAATAAATGTCTCCTAGAGGGAACTTTTTCCAAAATCAATTCGAGAGAAATTCAGCTCGTTTAGTATTTAAGTTCTACGAAGTTCGAACTCCGTCATTCAAACCAAAGAGAATATATAGATGTATGTTTGAGTCTGATGTGGATGAATGACACTCCCATCGCAACTGGCATCAGCTATTCCGAAGAGAACTGGGCTGGCCCTTCACGCTTACATCCCTGCCGAGAGATGTCCTTGACAAGATCTAATAAATGACTCCGCTGCGCGTGCAATTGCAGTGCCTCTGTGCGTGGCGTCCACCGCTCATCTTGCGCTTACCGGTCCGTTCATTGTTCGTTGTGTGACAACGATTTTGGTTAGGGAATGTAATGTTTTTTGTTCAGTTTGTAAAAGGATAAAAGGCATTTCCAGCTTTTTGTGCTAAAATATTGAGACGGATGTTGACTGGAAGAGTACTCAATTGATGAATACTTTAATTGCACTCATTCAGAATAGATGAATTTTTAGTTTCAATGTCGTTCCATTATACGTATAAATCATGATGATCTACTCTACTAGACTTCTTGTCTTCCATAATTAAGATAAAGGAATTAGATGTTTGAATGTAACCCATTTGTATTCATTTTTAATGTGGTCCAATCGCGGCACCGCCCTAACTTCATTGGATTTCTCTAATATTATGTTTTTTTCATTTTTATTACTCAAGTCACACTTTTACAATGATGACAAACATTCACTTCTATTACTAATGATAATGTCATGGAAGTATTACCCGATTTGAACGTACAACTACTGGAAAAAGGAATACTTTACCTCTTGGACTTGAATTTTATTACCTACAACTTTTGTTTCATCTCATAAAAATGTAATAGAATAAATTCAATTACTTCGTGTACTGACTCTACAATTGATCAAGAATGCAGTCAGGTTAAAAACAATACTCACTTAGTAATTTTTTTTAGCAAAGGCATTTACTCGAAATTGAAAGAACCTTAATGCAACAACCATTTTTCAACTTCCAATTTTCTTTTGCAGTCTCTACGGTACTGCAGAGGAAAACAAGACAAAAAAGTGAGAAAAAGCTTGCAGTGTCTGGAGAGATAGATTTTAATTTTTAGAAAAAAACTAGTGGTTGGCGATAACTTAGGCAAATTTAAAGGTGATGGAAATAGAACAATTTCCTAGGGCCTGTAGGTGATGAGAATTTGGTCAAATAAAATGTGCATGGGTGAATTGAAAGATTGATCGCCATACTCAAGTACTCTGTGTTTGAATACAGCGCCATAAGTCCACAGCCTCAATCTAATCATGGCTTACATGTCAGAACCATGTCCTTAAGTTTAAAAAATTCATTGGTGAATATTTCCGTACTTGATTTAACAATACTCGCCGACTGGAGATGCTAACTTTATGTAGGAACCGCAAAAGTCTATTAATTCAGACGAACTATCTCTGTAGTTATTAAGTTCTAATAGTTTGTATCGATTCACTGTAAAAAGCATTGTCACACGTTTCATGTTTGGTTTCTCTGTTTGATACTACTCGCTTCGGTTGTTGCGAAAGAGTAAAAGTGCAGTTGCAACCTGATCTTGACAGGGTAATGTAGGAAATTTATACAATGAACAGCAAGCTAACAGCATGAAAAGAAATGATTGCAATGAAAGAGGAATGATTCAGAAGTCGATAGTGGAAAAAAATTGAGAGTTTATGTCGACAAGCAGTTGAAATTTGTTGAGCATATTGAAGCGCAAGTTTATGAACCAAATACATGGCTTGAGCTGACAAAACGCTTACGAGTACCTAGATGCCAAAGCGATGAAGCTGTTGCTAGCTACTATCGTACGAAAAACGTTAAAAACGTGCGCCCGAACATTGAGTTTGGAAACGCCGTGTGGCTAGAACCTTAAGGACCTGCTGTTATACTTTCAGTTGGTTTTCCTCTCTGCCAGCTCTAAATAAAATTCATATTAGTTCACATTATGCAATTTCACCTACTTTTCTCTTAGAATAAAAACCGCCCAGTTAGATTAGATCAAAACTGATGAGGCAGAGGAAGACTACCGAGGAAAATGGAAGCTTAGAGGCAACAACCAAAAATATCAAATACCAAGTTCTTGATAAGCTCCAGCCCTCATTCTAACTTCCATAATCGTTGTCGGAGTATCCGCTATTTTGTCTAGCGACTAATTTCTTACACATGGTGAAAGTCCTGTAGCTATTTCGAATCGTCAGTTTTGAACTCACGAGGCCGGTTTTTATATCTCCTGCTAACAAGTCACAAAAAGTACTAAAATCGACGACAGTCCACGGGCCTAGTTCTCCAGGGCCGAAACACGTGTGTTGTGTGCGTCGTGCGCTCGTCTGCCGCATTGGCGAATGTTGTACAACTTTACAAGTACCGTTTAAATGTCAGGATCGTGCTATATAGGAAAAAATGGTCTCGGCGAAAATGGCTAAGGGGCATACTGTGATTGAACCCGAAAGAAAAACCTCGCCTTCTACGCGATGGCGAGGTCTAAGACTAAGTTTTTAATTCACATTCCGCGGGCGTAATTAATGCAGCCCTCTCCAGGTATATGTGAAAGTCTAGAGCATGCGGACGCAAAACGCTTCGGTTGCCAACCTCTCGAAGCCTCGGTTGCCAGTCCTCGCTCTCTCTCCCTCGAGACTGATGACTTCTGTTGCGCTATTATCAACAGTCTGCCATTTTCTACAAAGACCTGCAACAGATGCTGCATGGCACGACCTGGAAGAAACTTAGTGCTTCTTGGCATGTGCCTTCAGCAGCCCGAAATATATAAATGGATTCACGGTTCTCAGAAATCGTTCAATCGTTAGTTGTTTATCTAAACTATCCTAATGGAGACTTTGGTGTCAGAACGTTGAGGTTAAACTTAATAATTATTATAATCTTTGTAACTGGAACGCGATAACCTCAGGCTTTGAGGAAATGTTTGTAAAAAACAATTAAATTACAAACAATGAAAAATTAATTAATTTCCGCTCGGGCGTCATTTTGCCACTCAGTTGCGGCAGTATGCTTGAGGAATTGCAAACAAATATAAGGAATTAACTTGACCAAGCTCTAATTTCTTCGGAAAGAAAATTATTGCCTCGGCCTCAGCTAATTGTTGACTTGAGGATGGAATAATAGAGTGTACAATACACACGATTGTTGATTGATATTCAACAGCATTCCTGCAATGCGCAGAGGCTCTATGAGAATTAAAAAGTTAGCGGCCGTCGAACTCCTCTGGCCACGCGCAATCGAAAGGGCAATATAAACGACAATGGCAGTCAAAAATCTATTACGTATCAGTAGAAGAAATGAGGCACGTTATTTGTATTTAAACTTTACTCAATCTCGGGTATAAAATGTCATGAGATGATGAGAGAGTGCGAGCATGAAGTAAAGTGTAAACAAACGCGTCTCCACCGTTCGTGTGTTGCGAGATCAACCGTGCGAACTAAATTCTTACTAAATGCGAGAAAACCGAGTTCCTTGCCAGCATTCTAATAAATTTAGCAAGAATACAAATAATTCGTTGCTATTGGTCGTCAGAGGCAAGGTAGTAGAAGCAGGACTGCAACAAGAGGCCCCAGTATTAGTAACAAATAAGGCTATTCAAGATTTTTGTTTGTAGGACTATTATTACTCTAGTTTTTAGCCGCTTCTTTTCATCACAAAAAAATATGTACTTGAATCAACTGAAACCAAGATGGTCTTCGACCGCCATGTAGCTTACAACGAATGCGAACATTAATGAACTTACGGAATTCTGTTGATACGAGATCTGAGTAACTGAGTGTTCTCAAGAACTAATTGAGTTCTTCAAAAGCTTTACAGTAAATATAAGTACAAAGGTTACCAAGCCCTACTTAGTCAAATTGATTTAATATTGAGTCAAGCAGAATAAGGAACTAGTTGTATTTACAGCTATATGGGGCAGAATAGTAGGATCCCTGCCTAGATAGTAACGTGTTAGCTATCACGATATCTTGGTTTGTAAATAACAATTATCAAGAACAGATTCTCACTTCGAAGGCATCTTCAAGGCAACAGTGTTCGAATGTATGTTAAATTAAAAACAATATTCTTGTTAATAGATTACTTGAGCAACAAAACCTTGAAAAGATTCAAGATGACAATAAATAGGGCTAATGAAGACATGTCGGAGGCCCAGCTCGAGGCGTCTCAAAGCATCTCGGGAGTCCGGACCCTACGCATGTAAGCACTGCGTCTGGACAAGAGCATCTTCAAGGAGCGAGATCTCGGATATGAATAGATAACATTTATCATGGAGATTCTAGGGATTCTTAAGGTACAATTGTATATTATTCATCTTTATTATTAGAGGCTTTAATTTTTTTTTCTTAACTAAAATATTGAGATTCGTTATTGCAATAATTGACTAACATTATTAAATTTCTGAATTGGTTAACATTCGACTTTGTTAAGATTCTAGGTTAATATTTAAGACATTATTAAATCTCATTATAGATTTTTTTCATCTAATTATGTGAGATTCGCATTACTATTTCCGAGATTCTTGATCCACGACGTCGTGGGTCTGGCGATGTTACTCATGGCAACACGGTGGCCAGCTGCCACTCATGGCAACACGGTAGCAGCTGCCGCTCATAGCAACACGGTGGCCAGCTGCCGCTCATGGCAACACGGTGGCAGCTGCCACTCATTGCTCTTTATACAAAATAAATCTAACAAAAGTCTTTGGAACTCGAAAAAGTTTACCCTCTTCCGGATGTACAGCGTTAACAAATTCAATCGAACATATATTTTAGTAATAAAATATGCAAATCGATAATTTTAGTGGAATATTTAGGCTACGATTACAAGCTGCATGCTAGTTGCTGAAAATAATGGTTGCCTAGATAAAGTGGTTGAATAGTGGTTGCCTAGATAATACAATAGTTGCCTAGATAACGCTAAAGATTTTATAACAGTGCATTCCTAGATTCAGTGTTTTTATCAAACGATTACATTAAGTAACAGAGAATCAAGATTAAAACTTGACACCATAGTAATAAAAAAAAACAAACTTAAATTCGAGTCGATAACACAAAACAAAGAAGAACATAAACGAGGAATCGTAAGTGAATTCGTATGTGTTTCAGGGTTGAGCGAGCCGTGAGCAACTCGGACGGCGGTTCAGTTACTCAAGAATAAACAAGAACATTGCGTGCATATTTAAGCTGTTTTTCACGTGATGTCGTCGGCGTCAATTGCATTCTAAACAACAGGAGAAATAAATCAAAGGCAACGAACAAGCATGGGTTATCACCCAAATTTCCAATCAGAAATATATAGTAAATTGCAAAGTGAGAATTGTTCAACCAAAACGTTCTATCTTCGTTGCCAGGATTTGCACAATTTTAGCGTTTAGCGCGACAGAAAATCCACTGTCTGTAACAACGCTGCCCTAACCGACCAGCGCTCGGATATAACATAGCTATAGTTACTACATAATTGATTGGCCTCGCCTAGAGTCATGCACAACATTAAGCTGCTCATACGAATAAGGCAGTTCAAGTAAATGTTAAATGTTTAAGCAGAATCATTCATGGAATTGTACATTGGCACTGAGGCGAATAAATCTAAGAGCATATGAAGATATCAGAAAAATTTCACGACAGACCAGGAAATGGGTGCGCTTTTTTCGAGCTCACAACCATTAAGTAACTTGGCATCACTCCAGTAATTACGCAGCTGTTGGACGGTCGTGACGCCCAAGTTACGCAGCTGTAGGACGGTCGTGACGTCCAAGTTACGCCAAGTTACGCAGCTGTAGGACGGTCGTGACGTCCAAGTTACGCCAAGTTACGCAGCTGTTGGACGGTCGTGACGTCCAAGTTACGCCAGGTTACGCAGCTGTTGGACGGTCGTGACGCCCAAATTACGCCAAGTTACGCAGCTGTTGGACAGTCTTTACGCCGATGGGTTCCAGCATCTTCGCGAAGAGCGAGCCGGGCGTCTGCAGCAAATTTTCCGGCGAATCGAACTCGCGCAACTGAAACAATCGGTTGTCAATGGTAAAGAGAACAATGGTAAGTGATAAAGTGTCAAGAAAGTGATTGAATTATGCCAGACATAACTAAAATAATTAATACTGGTTTACAAACACGATTATTTTCACAGCACGCGGAAGTGCCATTGTTCTTGTTCTACCTGTCCGGCCTCCATGACCATGATCCTGTCGTAGTGGGCGACGGTGTTGAGTCTGTGGGCGACGGTGAAGAGAGTGGCGTCCCTGAAGGCGGTCTGCAGCGCCGCTTGTATCAGCTGGTCTGTTTCAGGGTCTACGGACGCCGTAGCTTCGTCTAACAGTAACACCTGTCACGGGCCGATACGTCACTGATCGCACCGGGTCACTATTAGTGACGATGATGTCACTAATTGGTAATGTATTCAAAAGATTATACATGTCTTGTCATAACAATGGAATGATAAATATTATTACAATAATATTTCCAGATCTTCAACCCGGACGTAGATATCGATTACGTATATAATTGATAAATAATTAACACTATATTGTAAATTATAACGTTTGTCATGTAAATGTGCATGCACGACTACGATGAATGAATAAGGACGAGATTACCTTCGAGTTCCTGAGGACTGCTCTGGTGAGGCAGATGAGCTGTCGTTCCCCCACAGAGAAGTTCGACCCTCCCGCCTCGACCGGGGCGCTCAGGCCGAGGTTCAGGCGCTCGATCACGCTCTGAAGCTGCGACCTCTGAGCTGCATCAGCGATCTTCTCGTCTGAGTGCTCACTGAACGGGTCTAGGTTGTATCTGTAACAAAGACGAAGAACAGACATGTGGTCTGAGTGCTCACTGAACGGGTCTAGGTTGTATCTGCAACAAAGACGAAGAACAGACATGTGGTCTGAGTGCTCACTGAACGGGTCTCGGTATTTTTTGTAAGATATTTTAGGCTTGTAACGCGTGTGGAATAGTATGGAGCACAGCGCTGTCACAGCAGAGCACCGCACCCACCTGCCGGTGCCCCAAGACAGCACCGCACCCACCTGACGGTGCCCCAAGACAGCATCGCACCCACCTGACGGTGCCCTGGAAGAGCACGGGGTCCTGGGGGATGATGGCGACGGCGGTGCGCAGCGTGTGTAGGCCCAGGCGCCTGATGTCGACGCCGTCGATCTCGATGCGTCCGCCGTCCACCTCCACGAGGCGCAGCAGCGCCGCGATCAGGGAGCTCTTGCCTGGCGGGGGGAGGGCTTAGTTGCGAGCACAGCGCTGGGCATTATTGACGATATTGTGATGTAATACACGGATTATAATGGGCACCATATGTTAAATTAATGATGCTATTGTGATGCAATATATGGATAATAGTGAGATACTATATGTTAAATTAATGATGCTATTGTGATGCAATATATGGATTATAGCGGGGCACATGATATGTTGAATTAATGATGCTATTGTGATGCAATATATGGATTATAGCGGGGCACATGAATGTTGAATTAATGATGCTATTGTGATCAAATACATGGATTATAGCGGGGCACATGATATGTTAAATTCACATAGAACAGGTCATTGACTAATTCAGGGGATAAGTTGAACTCTACGTCCGATTGAAATTTGAAACGGACTCAAATAATTAAGTATCAAGTTGTCAATTCTCCCGAGGCGGATAAATGATCAACTTCCATAATGCTTGTCACTGGTAATGCCATGTAACTGGTAATGCCGTGTAACTGGTAATGCCGTGTAACTGGTAATGCCGTGTAACTGGTAATGCCGAGTAACTGGTAATGCCGAGTAACTGGTAATGCCGTTTAACTGGTAATGCCGTGTAACTGGTAATGCCGTGTAACTGGTAATGCCGTGTAACTAGTGAAGAGGTGCTAGTAGTTACGCCTGTTATCTAGTAACACTGGCCCTGGTAACGGCCTGGTCGTACCAGCGCCCGTACGGCCGACTATGCCGATCTTCTCCCCCGGTCGCACGTCGGCGGTGACGTGACGTAACACCAGCGGCAGGTTGGGACGGTAACGCAGGCACACGTCACGCATCGTCACCGCCCCTACGCTGGGCCAGTTACAGCCAGCAGGTATCACGCCCTCTACGTGACGAGGAGCTTCTGGCGTCACGTCCTGAGGAACATAACTACTGTTACATGTGTGACGAGGTTAGCATCACTGGTAACTACGATGTTACATGTGTGACGAGGTTAACATCACTGGTAACTACGATGTCACAGGCGTGACGTGTTGTCACTGGTAACTATAAACTGGCACAGACGTTATGTGGCGTGACTGGCAACGTGTCACGCTATCTCAACATACGCGCTATAATTCAACAGCCACGATCCTCACTCTCCAGAATGAAAAACGGTAGTAACAGTTATATCGCGTATATTTTCATCACTATTGAAGGAATAATAGCAATAAAAGTAAATAATACTTATATAATTAAGAAATTATACTAATAAGCATAATAACAAGGCCAAAAAGAACAACAAGAAGCATATGTGGCCTCACGTATGCGTACTCGACGACGCGCTCCACGGACGTCATGCGCGACTCGAACTCAGACTTGATGCGCATGAGGAACGGCAGAAACTGGCACATCTGCGCACAAAAACAGTATTACTGCGCACAAAAACAGTATTACTGCTCACAAAAACAGTATTACTGCGCACAAAAACAGTATTACTGCTCACAAAAACAGTATTACTGCGCACAAAAAATTGGCATAAAACATGCACTATTAACGAAGTCTAGTGAATGTGTGTACGGGAACCGCGAGCCAAACGGCAGATGTGACCACAAGCACCGGAGCTTCAGAAAGCTAAAGTTCACGGCACAAAACTTTAATCAAGAGGTTGTGTTAGGACCTAACCGATGAGGTCAGGTATTTGTTATTGCAGGCTTTAGACACGCTCTAAAATTGTGACCATAATAAAGGAAACAGAGACACTCACGCCGTTGACGCTGATGAGTGCCAAGCCAGCGATGGCGGTGGAGAAGGAGCCCTTGGTGAAGACGCACAGAGCGGTGATGGCACTTATGATCACCGTCGCCAGCAGGTCCATCCTGAAGGTGAACCAGCGGTTCGAGAGCCGGAACAGCAGCATCACCACCGTGTGTTCGTCCAGCAGCTTGTAGAAGCTGCCAGCACGAGAGTATACTGTACATTGTACTGTATCTTGTACAGTACATATGTGGTGGCTACGATCAGAAAGTATTTGTAATATCCTGCGAAGAATGTCAAGTCTATGGGCGAGTATAGCATCGCATGCAGCTAACCTGTTCGAGAACATCTCTTCCTGTCCGTAGGCGCGAATGACCTGCAGCCCCGAGATGCACGACACAGCACACTGCCCACACGAGAGAGGGTTAATTCACACAACAAGATGCGCAGTGCTACGCACTCGCACACAGTTTACGGCACTGTAGTCAGAGTACTGCACGGGTACACAATGTATTGTGATTTGCAATATATAGATGGCACAGGTGCGTAATGCATTGAACAGGTGCACAACGTGTCGCACAGCCGGGCGCGTGTAGTGGAATACTATTTTTATTATTATTATTCTACGAAGCAGTTATCGTGGAGCCTGGTTCAATCAAACTTTGAGGACACGTTAATCATAAGTTAATAGCAAGCGAAAAATAAATAGACAAGAGAAAAGATTAGAATGGATAAAATGACTGAACACTTGATTCATATGCTCTACGAAACAGTTTCGTATTTAGGCGTCGACGAAACACCAGCAACGAAGGAGCCGATGATACAGAAACTGGTTGACTTCCAGGTCCTGGCGGCGGTGACCGATCAGTTGTTGATGACAAACGGTGTCTTCTAGAAGGCAGATCCGATCCGACACGCACTGCAGACCTTCCGTGAGATAAGGAGGCGCTAGACCGTGAAGGCATCGGAGCGTCACATAAACGACCTTGAACTGCGTGCGCTGCTGCATGCGCAGCCAATGGAATCGCGTAATATCGGCGTCACGTGGTCGAAATTTCGATTGTTCCACATGAGTCGCGCAGCAGGGTTCATTAAAGATTGCAGTTTATCAAGTGTCGTGGTCAGAAGTCCATAGAGTGTGGCATTACCATAGTCCAATCTGGTCACAACGAGCGCCACCACGAGAGCCTCACGGACCAGCCTCGAGAGACAGCGGCTGACGCTGCGTATTCGTCGCAGAGCGCCAGAACAAGCGGTGGTGACTGAGGCAATGTGCTTGTTAATAGAAAGTTCTGAGTCCAGCAAAATGCCGGGGTTGCGAACCGAAGACGCAGGAATGCAAACCAAATAAAGTCGGTTTTTGATGCATTGAGCTTGAGCCGGTCAGAGCGCATACTGTCTGAGCCGGTCGTGGCGCATACAGTCTGAGCCGGTCGTGGCGCATACAGTCTGAGTCGGTCGGAGCGCATAGTCTGAGTCGGTCGTGGCGCATACAGTCTGAGCCGGTCGGAGCGCATACAGTTTGAGCCGGTCGGAGCGCATACAGTCTGTAATCTGAGAAGGTTGGAGCGCATACAGTCTGAGCCGGTCGGAGCGCATAGTCTGAGCCGGTCGGAGCGCATACAGTCTGAGCCGGTCGGAGCGCAAACAGTCTGAGCCGGTCGGAGCGCATACAGTCTGAGCAGGTTGAAGCGTATACAGTCTGAGCCGGTCGGAGCGCATACAGTCTGAGCCGGTCGGAGCGCATACAGTCTGAGCCGGTTGGAGCGTATGCAGTCTGGGACGGCGTCCATGCAGACAGACATCCTGCAACGTTGCAGCATCAACTGGTGCACAGTAGTCATAAATTTGGGTGTCGTCGGCAAACATATGCGGATTCAAACTATGTGACTCAATTATGGGCAATACGTTGACAGTATATAATAGGAAAAGTATCGGGCCGAGAACTGATCCCTGTGGTACGTCGCAAGTGACCCGCAAGTAGAAGAAGAGTTCCCGCGTCGAACGCATTGGAATCTATTGCTGAGGCAAGACTCGAACTACCGCAGCACTGTGCCGTGCAGGCCAAATGATACGTCAAGCCGACGCAATAAAGTAACGCGGTCGACCGTGTCAAACGCGGCCGACAGGCCGAATAAAGCTAGTGTCGCAATGTCGCCGCGGTCTACTGCTCTCAGAATATCTAAAAGCACTTTCAGCACAGCGGTTTCCATCTAGGGGAGATGACGGTGTGCAGACTGAAGGCGAGGCATGAGACCGGACTGCTGACGATGGTTATTCAGCTATCGGGCCACAAAGCGTTCCAAGAATTTCGGCAAAACCGACAAGTTGGAGATGAGTCGACATAATTTGGGATCAAAAGCGTCAAGGTTTTTTTTTCAATGGATGGGTAATATAAGCTGATTTGAAGCTTCAGTGGCGTAGCGGTTAAAAATTCGACCAGACGAGGTGCTAGGGTTACGACATAACCCGTTAAGTAACGACGTCGGCAACGAATCACTGGCACACTGCTATAGTAAGGCAGCGCGCACAATGCAGCGATGACATAGTCAGCTGTAACGGAAATATTGCTGACGGAGCATCGGCTGACGACGCTCTCACAGCAGTAATATTATTTTCAAAAACAGCATGGAATTCCTTTACGCTTACGACACCCGAAGCATCTGTATGAGCTCTTCCCAAAAGTTAATCCAGTGAACGCCACAGCGCTCGAGGATCGCTGCATTGCGCGTCGACTCTCCGGTGCCATAATGACCCTCTTTTAGATAGAATAAGGGCGACATAATTGCGCCAGGCATCTCGCCAGGGTGATGCCACAGCAGCTGCAACAGCAGGATTGACACGTCCATTCGACTGATAGACAGCCCGCTGGAGAGGTCGAACCCTCCGCTTCGGGAGTTCAAGCCAAGATGGTCGATCGGTGTCGGAACAGTAACAGTCGTCCACAGTCAGATTTAAGGCACAGTCAACTGGAAACTGAATATCTTGAACGCTAAAACGAAAACCACAATATAATCCCCGGTCAAAAAAACGCTTACATCGACGGACATTGCGTCAAGCAAGTTACGTGAGCAGCAAGAAAAAACCGAGATCAAAACGGAGACTGGTGAGGCGTACATCATTACAAACTTAAAAAAACAAGTCCTGCGTGTTCACGGCGTGCGTGCAGCATTGTTACTGCGACATGAGATGTAACTGCGTGAGAACTGCGGGTCGTTGCTCTCACCTGCACCACGGGACTTTTCTGTGTGCTCTCCAGCCTCTTGAACTCCTTCACGCCGCGGTCCAGCATCTGCCCCAGCCACAGGAACAAACCTGCAGCACCAGCACCGTCACTAACACACGTGCGCGTGGCATGCAGCACCAGCACACGTAGGAGTGGCATGCAGCACCAGCACCCACGTCACCAACACACACACGCATGACACTCACAAACGCTGATGTGCCAATTGGAGTCAACACAATTATGAAGTTACGACTCTATATTGATGCGAAGCTGACTAACCAAGACTCTACACTCATAAGCAGCTAACTAACCAAGAGTCTACTAACTACACTTATGAATAATACAATTATAGTAAAAATTTTATTCCAGAAGTAATTCTCCGCATGATATTACCGGACGAACGACTCACCGCCGACGAGGACGAGGACGATGGTGAAGTATGGGAAGAAGAAGCAGACGAGCAGCGAGCTCGCGGTCATGAAGAATATGGACTGCAGCAGCAGGTCGAAGAACGTCGGGATGCGGTAATCCACTGCAAAAAAAATGAGTACTTGTTGGGATGCGGTAATCCACTGCAAAAAAGAGCACATGTTGGGATGCGGTAATACACTGCAAAAAGCACGTGTCAGGATGCTGTAAGGATGTAGGGATGCGGTAATCCACTGCAAAAACAGGTCGGGATGAGGTAATCCACTGCAAAAAAAGAGCACATGTTGGGATGCGGTAATCCACTACTCACTCTCGTCGATGTCTTTGCTGAAGCGCGTGATGACGCGGCTCGCGGGCGTCACGTCAAAGAAGGCCGTGGGGGCGCGCAGGACGCTGCGGAACATCGCGTTGTGCAGGCGACGGCTGCCTCGTGTCAGCCTGCGCGATGTGTCAACTGTCAACAGGTACTGTCAACATCGTGTGTTGTGGTACTGTCTACATCGTGTGTTGTAGTGGTACTGTCAACATCGTGTTATTAAACTACTAAATCCGAGTCAACATCTGCTACCCAAATCTAGCTAACTTATCATCAATTATCTAAATAAGTATTTTATTTAGGCTGACAATGCAATTATTGTGCTAGTGATGGCAACACTCTAGTCCAGACCTTCCACGTTTACTTATTAAACATTAACTTATTTCAGGAAGATGTTGATGATGCAACACACGCAAAGATGTTGATGATGCAACACANCCCTACACGGCAATAAGACATGTTGGCCACACGTTCAGCCATGAGGCCGTCACCCTACACGGCAATAAGACATGTTGGCCACAAGTTCAGCCATGAGGCCGTAATGTTGGCCACACGTTCAGCCATGAGGCCGTCACCCTACACGGCAATAAGACATGTTGGCCACACGTTCAGCCATGAGGCCGTCACCCTACACGGCAATAAGACATGTTGGCCACAAGTTCAGCCATGAGGCCGTAATGTTGGCCACACGTTCAGCCATGAGGCCGTCACCCTACACGGCAATAAGACATGTTGGCCACACGTTCAGCCATGAGGCCGTCACCCTACACGGCAATAAGACATGTTGGCCACAAGTTCAGCCATGAGGCCGTAATGTTGGCCACACGTTCAGCCATGAGGCCGTCACCCTACACGGCAATAAGACATGTTGGCCACACGTTCAGCCATGAGGCCGTCACCCTACACGGCAATAAGACATGTTGGCCACAAGTTCAGCCATGAGGCCGTAATGTTGGCCACACGTTCAGCCATGAGGCCGTCACCCTACACGGCAATAAGACATGTTGGCCACACGTTCAGCCATGAGGCCGTCACCCTACACGGCAATAAGACATGTTGGCCACAAGTTCAGCCATGAGGCCGTAATGTTGGCCACACGTTCAGCCATGAGGCCGTCACCCTACACGGCAATAAGACATGTTGGCCACACGTTCAGCCATGAGGCCGTCACCCTACACGGCAATAAGACATGTTGGCCACAAGTTCAGCCATGAGGCCGTAATGTTGGCCACACGTTCAGCCATGAGGCCGTCACCCTACACGGCAATAAGACATGTTGGCCACACGTTCAGCCATGAGGCCGTCACCCTACACGGCAATAAGACATGTTGGCCACAAGTTCAGCCATGAGGCCGTAATGTTGGCCACACGTTCAGCCATGAGGCCGTCACCCTACACGGCAATAAGACATGTTGGCCACACGTTCAGCCATGAGGCCGTCACCCTACACGGCAATATTTTTAAAATATTTTATTTCCACGCGTAGCATGAGATTTTTTAATCAATTTTATAGTAAATTCGCTCAATTCGTAATTCGGCGTTTCTTTCTTAGAAGTTATTAACGTGAAGATTCACAAAGTATTTACTATGAATTGCCTCATGCAAAATAAATAATCCCAATGCCAATTCCTTGGTAATACCAATTACTGTCACTGCTGTTTCGCTACCTTCAACAATCGCTCGGTCAATATTCGCACCTATTGCGATGTAATAATAAAAGGCATAAATAAATTTGAAGGTAAGACTATAATTGATATTGATTTAATTTTCAACAAAATGAATATAATGCTGATACATTATATTCATTATTAATGCATAATGAGTATAATACTGACGGCGTCTAGCCAGCGCTGCTGCCACAGCATCGCCGCCACACGCACGGCCGTGTGCAGCACCAGCCCCACCAGCACCAGCAGCACCGCCCACGCCCCACCGCTCGCCTGGCATCATGATAACCGAGATAACCATCACGTCAACAATGAATATTGTGTAGCAACTGGTTTATTTATCCGTGCAAACACACAACTAGGGTGTATTTTCAGAAATAGGTTGTATATTCAGAGCTAGGGTGTATATTCGGTTAATTCTTTCACGATAACCATGCGCTCTCATCATATGAACAATGAATATTGAGTAGGAACTGGTTTCTTTAGCCGTGCACACACAGAGCTAGGTTGTATATTCAGTTAATCCTTCCACGGGCAAATTACCGTACATGATCACTTAAAAAAGATCCACCTTGGCCCCCGGTTTGTGTTTGAGGCTCCGTTATCTTGCCTCTGCCAAGCACCAATTATACATCTGAGCATCATTCCGTAAAAAACATCATCTCCTACCATGCGAAAAATTAAAATAAGGATATTTAAATGAATGTTTTGACTGAAACTTTTGATAATAAAATTTACGCTCTTTCCGTAGTTTTTTCATCTGAATGCAACAGTTTCTATTCAATCGATTAAAGCAAAGTCATGAAATTGAATTAAATTGGGTTTAGATAGTTATTCTTTAAATTTGAGTATTTGCATTTAGCGTCTGTACACAACACACCTGCACGTAGCGCCTGTACACAAGCCGAGACACGCTGCCGGTCTCGCGCCCCTCGGTCTCGATGAGCTTGCCAACCCCACCGCCGCCGCCGCCGCCACCGCCACCGCCGCCGTCTGACCGGCACAACATGAATGCCGTCTGGTGACTCAAAGATAACTTAATCAAGCAAATCTCCTCTAGAACGATCTGAATTTTAGGTATAAAGGCACATTAAACTCGGACACTTAATGAAGAAATCGTTAAGAGAAAAAGCAGAAGTATTAATTAAAATATCACTTTAAATTTGAGACCGACTAAATTAAGGAAAATCCCACACGGATATACAAAAGAAACGGATATACAACACGCGACACAACACGCCTCACCACACATGATGCCTCACGCCTCCCCAGGGGCGAGGCGTGAGGCAATAGCAAACCTTTGCTGGGGGACGAGGCGTCGGCGTCTGATGGAGCGCCTTTGGGGTCGTTGCCATCAGGTGCCACGTCGCTCTCCTGCGGTAACATCAGAATTATATAAACTCGTGCATATCAAACACATGCAACAAAAAACTGTTAATAGAAACATATAAACACTTTAGAATTGTGAGACATCTGCGCCTGAATTTTAATTTTGCTCGCGTACGCTTGAAAAAATAAGACTATGTACGATATTTCTACCGCCGGACCTCCGATTTTATTTAAACAGGTTCGTTACGAGCATCTTACGACAGGTCGCACTCAACATCTTCATCTTGAAATAATGAATTAATGGTTTTCTGACGGATGTTTTAAGCATACTGCCTTGTGACAATAGACAATGTCTTAGTTCGTTTATGTTTATCAAAAATGAACAAGCTTTTAACTAATGGAGTAAACAAACGCAGTCTTCAGATCTCAACTGGTTGATGGTATTCAAACACAGTAGCAAACGAGTTGGCTGAATTTTGGGTTTAAATGTAGAAAAGAGGATCTATATTCAGAAGATAAAACGCTAAAAGATACGGATTTATTAATTCACAAGCCTGCCTTTAATAAAATTTGTTTACATCGGGCGATTCCGTGGGACTAGAAAGAAATAGACTTGCGTGATAGTCACGAGATGCGACTAGTCACGCTTTAGGCAGTGACTGAGAGCGGCCGTTGACAAGACTATGTAAGGTACCTGCTTCATTTCATTTATGAAATGAATATTAATACAATAAACAATAATCACTAGATAAAATAAATGTGTAGTAGCCTTGAATGAAACAAAATTAGAAATGATTTAAATCATTGCGGCTCAAGTCTGACTAAAAAATAATTTAAAATATCACCCAGCCACACGACACATCACCCAGCCACATGCCACATCACCCAGCCACACGACACATCACCCAGCCACACGCCACATCACCCAGCCACACGCCACATCACCCAGCCACACACCACATCACCCAGCCACACACCACATCACCCAGCCACACGCCACATCACCCAGCCACACGCCACATCACCCAGCCACACGCCACATTGCGCTGCAACACTGCAGCATCTCAGCAGTGCAACACTGCAGCATCACAGCACTGCAACACTGCAGCATCTCAGCAGTGCAACACGACAGTGTTGCATCAAGTAGGTAGCTAGCACACCAGAAATATCATCACCGCATCAACCCATACATAACCGACCAATGAAAACAATTCCCCACTCAAAGTACAACCACGACACCCGAACTAACGTGCAGGGCGTGCGTGACGAGCACGACGGTCTTGCTCCTGAGGGCGCCCCTGACGCAGCTCCTGAAGAGGTGCTGCGCGACGCGGGTGTCCACGGCGCTCAGGGGGTCGTCCAGGAGGTAGATGTCGCGGTCGCTGTACACGGCGCGTCCTAGGGACACCCGCTGCTTCTGCCCGCCGCTGCGTGGTGCACAGTAATGGTACAGTAACAGTGCAGTAACAGTGCAGTAACAGGGAGTACAGTAACAGTGAGTGCAGTAACAGTGAGTGCAGTAACAGTATAGTAACAGGGAGAGTATAGTAACGGTACAGTAACAGGGAGCACAGTAACAGTACAGTAACAGGGAGAGTATAGTAGGTAACGGTACAGTAACAGGGAGTACAGTAACAGGGAGTACAGTAACAGGGAGTACAGTAACAGGGAGTACAGTAACAGGATGTACAGTAACAGGGAGTACAGTAACTAGTACAGTAACAGGGAGTACAGTAACAGGGAGTACAGTAACAGAGAGTACAGTAACAGGATGTACAGTAACAGTACAGTAACAGGGAGTGTAGGGAGAATGACAGAAGAGGGGTTGTTTATCCCATCCCTTTGCTGTGCAACGCAGTCACGTGTTGCAATAAAGAAGATACAATCTTTTATACCACACACCGAAGTCGGTCAAACATAAATCCTGAACAAGTTCTTTAACTTTCACTAAGTCAACTATCCGCGAAGTATGAACAAACAATACCGGGTGGTATTCTTACCCCCGAGTTATGTTACAAAACAATACCCGCGTAGTATGAACAAACAATTTCGTGTAGCTGATACAATGGCTGTTGGGATATCGTCTTGACGCGACTCTTATTTTCAAGAGCGAGCAGCAGGTGACCTCACCTCAAGTTGATGCCCTTCTCGCCGATCTCGGTGTTGTCGCCATCAGCCAGCATGCGCAGGTCTGTGCTGAGGGCGCAGGCTTCAATCATGGCGTCGTATTTAGATTTGTTGTAGGGGCATCCCATGAGAAGGTTCTCCCTCAGGGTGGTGTTGTAGATCCATGCTTGCTGCGACACCAGCGCCACTCTGCCGTTCACCTGCACCTCCCCCGACACTAGCGACATCTGCCCATACATTCGTCGTGCTCAGGGAACATGAGAGGCAAGGGTATCAGGGCTCAACATAATAATATAATAGCGGTGTGAGTGTTTAGTAGGCCGGAGGCCTGTTGCCAATTCTTAACATCGCAGAACATTCACAGCTTGTTGCGGTCTTGAACTCGCAACTCATTGCTACAATTCTACTGTGCTTAACCGCCCAGCCTCCTCGCCGATTCTGACCAGAAACTGGCGCACAGAGCTGGGATCGAACCCGCGCCTTTTTGCGCCAATCTTGGTACCTACTCTGAACTGTAACCACTGGGCCACCCTGCCTGAAGAGGCAAGGGTAGACATCAGGAGCTCAACATGAGAGGACAGAGCCCAAAAATCATCACAGATGGCCCACCGGGACCAAAGTTGGCACTATCTTTAGCACAACTGGCACAACTGCATGGCATGTGGCACTTCCTTTAACACAACTGGCACAACTGCATGGCATGTGGCACTTACATCGCCACAAATGGCCGCCAGGAGAGACGTCTTGCCGGAGCCAACGCTGCCACAGACGCCCACCAGCCGCCCCGTCTGGATCGACAAACTCACGCCCCGCAAATGCGGCAGCTCTCTACAGCTGCCGCCGTCTGAGGGGGCAAGAGTTCAGTAAGAGCATGTGTCCAGGTACAGAGCAGGGGCCATACGTTCAAAACTCGCTAAGTGAACGTACGTACTCACGCTCTATTTTCTTGTCTATGACTGGTGGATTTTACTTGAAAGGCCGTCAATGATTGGCTCATGAACTTACGATCTCTTAACTTTTTAGAAAGTATAGGCCCTGATATACAGTGTGAATTGCTGCACTTGAACATAAGGAGCATCGCCATCCTTTTCTACTGCAAGAAATAATGGTACATAGATTTGCTTGCCATTCAAAAATAGCGATATTTTTGTAGGATTTTATACGTATCAGTTCTTGGATTATTACTCGTTTCTTCGTATTCAATTGAATGCATTTGTCAGGACGCCTAAAGAAGCCGTGTCATGTACACGATGTTGAGACATGCAGGCTGTGGAATCCTCGAGCTGCGAACGCTCGTTACTGGCGCTAGTGACAGTCTATTGAATTGAAGAGCTGGTAAAGCAACACCAGTAGAGACATTCTGCAGCCAAAGCCCAGCGATAAGTCTGACTTATGAGACTGCTATTCTCAAACATTATCGCTAGGTCCGATAAATAAATTATTCGCGGTGTCAATGTCCCACTCGGCTGTTGTTCGTGAGACAGAACAAATCTAAGTTACAGGCTGCTTCTTGCTTGAACTGATGGCTTTATGATGGATAATATGTTACAGACAATATGTTATTCTCAGTATACCATACCTACGATGAATAAAATATAACCTCACAAATATTTTCCCCGTTTTGGCCCATTTAATAAAAAAGTGCCTTGATTTACCAAGCGAGTAATCAAGACTATAATCGACATTAACTCACTCTGAATATCTCCTTGCACAGTCATGTCAATGACGCAGTCCTCCACTCTCGTCTCTTTGCCAGGAAGTATTTCTTGGTCTTTGATAATTTTGTTCCCCGAGTAATTTCCTTTCTCCTTTTTGCTGCCACCTTTAGAGAGGTCTCTGTTTCCAGACTTCCCGCTCTTCTCACTGTGCTTCTTATTTTCGTTATGAAGCTCGGCGACTACCGCTTTATCTTTGCTGGAATTCTTGTCTTTCTTTCCAGATTTCATTTTTTGTTTCCCAGACTCAGGATCGCGGGAATTCTTGCCCTTGCCCCCCTGGGGAGGCTCCATGTCCTGGTCGGCGTCCTGGCTACTCCACTCGAAGGAGGCGTGGTGCAGGCACAGGGCGAGGTCGCTGCGCAGCACTGACACGCCGTGGCTCTTTTGCTCCCGCCGAGTCAGGATCCTCTGCACAAACACGACAAGAGAGTGGCGTTGAAAAAATAACACTAGAGGAGCCTGCACAAACATTAAAGGAGCCGCATCAACACTAAAGTTGCCTGCACCAACACAAAAGGAGCCGGTATCGACACTAAAAAAGCCTGCTCTAAAACTACAAGGAGCCAGTATGAAGGTAATGTTACGTAAGTTTATGTAATGTAAACCAATGTACAGTAGAGGAGGCATGACAGCATTGGTATCAGCTATAGACAAATGCAAGCTACAAGGCGCGGTAATGCGCTTTGTTAACGTGTGCTTCGCTGCTGCTTGTATAATGGATTTATTTGTTAAGAGTAGTATCGCCTGCCGTAGATTGTTTGACCGATATGCCGTATTGTTAAGGGATAACAGGCAAAATAAAACTCCACCTTGAGATAATCGAATGTCTTAGCTTCGAAGATAAGTAATCACTTTGTGATCCTATCATATTCCCGTCATACTTGTAATCATCGCCTGCAGAAAGATCCGTAGGTGCTAGGCACCCTGACGAGGACACCCCCAGGCAAAGCGTCATCCTGCGGGACTGACCTGAATGCGCTGCAGAGACACGCTGGCCTCCGCAATGTTGCGCAGCATGAAGGGCACGGTGCCCAGGCTGAACTGGAAGCAGTTCAGCACGGACGCGAGCGTGAACGCCGTGCTGGCGGTGATGGCAGATCCTGTAACAGCGAACACCAACTTGTCAAGATATGGTGCAGCGAATTTAGTAGGATCGAGGATTTGAACAGACGTATACTTTGCTTCAATGGATAACGGAGAAGAAAAAGCCTTTCCTTTTTAAAAACCGTGTGAGCTAAAGACAGAGAGCCTGACGACCACTCTCCACTCACCGTATAGTGTGATGGCCGCCATGATGGCCAGCAGAGCGACGGAGGACATGACGGGGCTGATGGTCAGGTTCAGTGACTGCAGGAGGCCAATGGCCCGCACCTGCTTGACCTCCTGTGAACGCAGGGCTGCAAGGAACAGGACGTTATTATGTCAACAAATAATCTACGAATTACTTGTTGGCATGATGTCAGTACAGACCAAGTCGGCATATTACCAGAACGTTAAATGCTGGAATATGGTAATTAAAACCTCTCTTCTACGCGGCACCCTTGCATCATCAACGCCTCACCCTGTTCCAGCCCCACCCATCTCACGCTGCCTTCCAATCTTCTCAGATTTCTTTGAAGCTTCGCAGACGTTCCGGACACCCAGCATATGGCATCGACTGTACCGAGGTGCGTCATCTTCATCATCCGCCTGGCCCCAACAGCTGGCAGGCAAGACGTTCCGGACACGAAAGCAGTAAACAGCAGGAGCGCGCATCTCTGTCAATCTCGAGCTGCTGCAATATGCCACAGCTTGCTTTTTTTTGATAGTAGTAGGACAGAAGCGGACGACCAAGGTCTGTACTTACGATCATGTTGAGTAATTTTTTGAATGTCTCCACGTTCGTCGTGGTCAAGCACAGCTGAATTGAAAAGGCGTTGAGCTGAATAGTCGTCGCAAGGAAAGGGAGATTTTTCGCCGAGTCCGAACTCTGGATGTACCTGTTTTTCGATGTTAGTGTTCTGCACTATCCCTAACCTTCGCAGTCCCTATCCTACGTGCTAGCGCTCAAGCTTTCGCATCCTGTTGATCCTTGATGTGCAAGTTATGCAGGCCTGCTTTCAGTTGCCGCTGCATTGCAGCCAAAATTAACGGAGCCCAAAATTCGTTGCTGTAGTCTAGAAGGGTGAGCAGTGGCCCCGTAGAGGTTTAATCACGAGAATCACTTCTCATGTTCGAAGCGATGGTCTGATCCACCTCGTATGCAGCCAGCCTCAATCTCCACTGAAGTAATGTGGCCATCAAACGTAGCCTCTGCTTGCTTCATTACTCCCATGAAAAGATGGGTTTCTTCAATTCAATTGCCGCTGATGGTAGCGATGCTTCATCCCTCATGTCTTCACATCTTTAGTTTCTCAGGTATCCAAACATGGTGCCATTGTGTTCCACGTTTTTCTTTTGGGCCTCCAGTCATTCAGCGGCGATGTCGCTGCTTTCTCTTGCAGTACAGCTTGTCCGAAATCTTAATCAGTGCTCGTGAATCGTCCACAAATAACGATGCAATTGCGTAACTCAGTCCCACATCTTTGTCGGCAAGGTGGATGAGAAATGAGATCGGTACAAGCAACGAACCAAGCAGTAGTACTTCGCACTTCGAATTCTTACCGGTTGTAAACCCTTCTTACGCTTTATTAGTCAGAAAGTTAGTTGTGGATCTACGCTAAAAACTGGCTTCCAACCTACACCAGCCTTAGCTATCTGAAAACTTCAGGTTCACTTTATCATTGTCTTCCGAAAATTAAAGTACAACACATCGACACTAGCCTTCACCTAGCGCAGGTCAATCATGCGGTGACGACGCAGCAGCTACATGCATGAGCGACTGCGCCGGGTACGCATCCAATGCAGCACGTCAACAAAGCGTCCACTCATGCTCGGTTCACCTCTCTCAACCAGGCAATCCACACTTTAAAAGGGCACCCTAGCCTCACTTTACCCTCTGTCCCTTGTACATTACACCCATGACACCTCACTTCCGCAGCACCCACGCCCTCGACTCACCCTCGATGCTGGCGGCGAATGAGTCTTCCCATGAGTACATCTTGATGAGACGGATGTTGGTGAGTATTTCACTCATGAGACTCACTCGACTGTCACTCACGCGGGTCACCTGGGCGCGCAGCGTCCCAATACGCACAGTCACGTGTTTCTGGGGGACGAGAAAATGTCTGGGCACGCGCATAGGGGCCACGGGCACGTGTGTTTGGGGGATAGTACTGCACTGTATAAACTACACGACCATATTTGTGCATACGACGACGAATAATTGAACTTCAGACAATTATTGAGCACTGAAACATTAGGATATTCATTGAGGAAAATTAAACTCACGACTACGGGCACAAAGAGGAGGATGGCGAGGAAGCCCAAGAGGCACCAGGCGTCTACGATGTACCAGCTGTAGGCCAGCGCCGCGACCGTCGTAAGTGGCAGACCTGCGGTACACAGACGTCGTAAGTGGCAGACCTGCGGTACACGGACGTCGTAAGTGGCAGACCTGCGGTACACAGACGTCGTTAGTGGCAGACCTGCGGTACACAGACGTCGTAAGTGGCAGACCTGCGGTACACAGACGTCGTAAGTGGCAGACCTGCGGTACACAGACGTCGTAAGTGGCAGACCTGCGGTACACAGACGTCGTAAGTGGCAGACCTGCGGTACACAGACGTCGTAAGTGGCAGACCTGCGGTACACAGACGTCGTAAGTGGCAGACCTGCGGTACACAGACGTCGTAAGTGGCAGACCTGCGGTACACAGACGTCGTAAGTGGCAGACCTGCGGTACACAGACGTCGTAAGTGGCAGACCTGCGGTACACAGACGTCGTAAGTGGCAGACCTGCGGTACACAGACGTCGTAAGTGGCAGACCTGCGGTACACAGACGTCGTAAGTGGCAGACCTGCGGTACACAGACGTCGTAAGTGGCAGACCTGCGGTACACAGACGTCGTAAGTGGCAGACCTGCGGTACACAGACGTCGTAAGTGGCAGACCTGCGGTACACAGACGTCGTAAGTGGCAGACCTGCGGTACACAGACGTCGTAAGTGGCAGACCTGCGGTACACAGACGTCGTAAGTGGCAGACCTGCGGTACACAGACGTCGTNGACGGCCTCCATGACGCACCTGGCAAGAAGACAGCAGCGATGACGGCCTCCATGACGCACCTGGCAAGAAGACAGCAGCGATGACAGCCTCCATGACGCACCTGGCAAGAAGACAGCAGCGATGACGGCCTCCATGACGCGCTCCATGTCCGTGTTGATGATGTTGGCCACCTGCGCCGCAAGCTCCTCGCCTCCAGCCTGCAGACGCAGCGCCTTCTGCAGCACCGCCCCCTGCAGCGCCCCCGCCAGCCGCGTCGCTGAGAGGGTGAAGAGGTGAGGGGGAGTGAGAGGGTGAAAGTGTAGGGGGAGTGAGAGGGTGAAAGGGAAAAGAGAGGGTGAAGTGGTGAGAAGGAGTGAGGGGGTGAAATGGTGAGGTAGAAAGGGGAAGAGATTGGGCAAGGGGACTTAAGGGAGCAAAGCAATTGAGGAACAAACGAGTGTGAACAGGCATGGATTGATAAAATTAATGTGCGAGAATCGTATAGGTATTCAAACTATAAATAAATGTGTATAAAAACTAACTCAATGAGACACAGAGTGAATAACACAGGACTTATGAGGACTTAGACTATACAATTAACCCACCGAGTAACCCACACGTCAGGCACCCAATAACCCACACGTCAGGCACCCAATAACCCACACGTCAGGCACCCAATAACCCACACGTCAGGCACCCAATAACACGTCAGGCACCCAATAACATGTCAGGCACCCAATAACACGTCAGGCACCCAATAACACGTCAGGCACCCAATAACACACGTCAGGCACCCAATAACACGTCAGGCTCACCCGTGTGGCAGGCGACGATGAACATGGCGTTGAAGGACAGCGCCCTGACCAGGTTCAGTACCACGACGAGCCCGACGATGAGCCACGCGGTCGCGTGGTCACGTGCTGGACTGTTCACGTAGTCCAGCGTCATGCGCATCACGTGGCTCTGTGACGTGTGAGACATGGCATTGCGTGTGAGACATAGCATTGTGTGTGCGACATGACGTGGCTCTGTGACGTGTGAGACATGGCGCGTGTGTGTGACATGACGTTTGAGACATGGCATTGTGTGTGTGACATGACATGTGAGACATGGCATTGTGTGTGTGACATGACGTGTGAGACATAGCATTGTGTGTGTGACATGACGTGTGAGACATGGCATTGTGTGTGTGTGTGACATGACGTGTGAGACATGGCATTGCGTGCGAGACATGACGAGGCTCTGTTTGACGTGTGAGACATGGCATTGCGTGCGAGACATGACGTGGCTCTGTGACGTGTGAGACATAGCATAGCGTGTGTGACATGACAAGGCTTTGAGTAACAAACGTGATATGACATGACATGCGTGATATGACATGACATGCGTGACATGACATGACGTACGTGATATGACATGACATGCGTGATATGACATGACATGCGTGATATGACATGACATGCGTGATATGACATGACATGCGTGACATGACATGACATGCGTGATATGACATAAGGAAGCTACAGTAAACGATGACTCAGTCGCTCACTGTCAACGCGGCGTCTTCACAGGAAACTGTTAACTTGCAAAGAACGTCACAACGAATTTCAAGCAAAAACATTAGCTGTTCGTTATTTTTAGCAAGAGCGTGATGTCTTCGCAGGTAATTAAGCTTATGTTCTAATACTTTAACATAATCTGTTATCTACATTATCTGTTATTGTACATCAACATTATCTGTTCTTATACATCAGCATTATATCTTATCTACATTATCTATTCTTATACATCAACATTATCTCTTATCTACATTATCTGTTCTTATACATCAACATTATCTCTTATCTACATTATCTGTTCTTATACATCAACAATGAAAAAGCCATTAGTTGAGAGCCAAAGACTTATAAGCAAATTATGCTCCCTTATATCAGAACCGATGAGGCGGGCATTTGTTCTCGTCCATTGTTTGTTTAAAAAAAAGGTCGCTATTATATTTAAAAAAAATCATCGCTTCCCTTTACGAATTGAAAATTTATTATCGAATGTTTAATGTGAAGGGGCATTCAAATAAGGATTTTCACTAATTCAAGCAATATATTCTGATAGAACCAAATCCCTAATTGCATATTTTCAGCCGAAACGCATGCATGTGGAGCATGGTCTAAAACTGTACATTGTTCAAGGTTTAATATACTACTTTTTCAGTCGACCATCAGTCCCCTCATGTAAACGCGTTCGGAATAATGAGAAAACTTTGTAATTGCCAATTTCAGTTAATTTTGATAACGGATTTCTTGGATTTTAGCCTGCGTCACTTGCGCATGGATCGAGCGCAGTCTGGGCAACCGATATAGACTCAAGTGCAAACTTCCGGTGCATGTGACACGAGTATTGCAGAATCTGTCGATTTTTCTAAATAAAAACTACATTTACTCATGCCTATTACTTTTATCCTGTTTATATTGGTAAAGATATGATTTTCTGCCGTTTTTTACTTCAGATCGCTCGTTGCTGTGATATGTAAGGTCTTCAGTTTACCCGCTAATTTCGTCACAATTTCGAACTCGCGTTTTGGTTTTATAGAACCAACGATGGAGCGGGACTACACACGTTGTTGGTATAGAAACATACTAAATTTACTTGGCATTCCTTAAAATTTGATTTTAAATTTTATCGTCCCATTAAATCAAGAATCGGTATTAAATCATCGCAAATCAAAGAAAATATAAGAGACCGACGCGACTTACCGTGAGCAGGAACCCGACTTACCGTGAGCAGGAACCCGACTTACCGTGAGCAGGAACCCGACTTACCGTGAGCAGGAACCCGACTTACCGTGAGCAGGAACACGACTTACCGTGAGCAGGAACACGACTTACCGTGAGCAGGAACACGACTTACCGTGAGCAGGAACACGACTTACCGTGAGCAGGATCACGACGTACCGTAATCATGAACACGACATAACGTTAGCAGGAACACGACATATGTACAC